CTCCCACCATGGGCTTTCGGATGTTTGCTGTTTTCGGGTTATGGGGTTTAATGGGTTTAATGCGTTCTCCTGCTAATTATCTTGTTTTGACTTCGTTATCTTGGCGTGGTAATGGTCCCTTGGCTGCTTGGGAGATCACTTCGCGCTCTTTTTTTTTCTTCTTTCTTTCTTTTTTTTTTCCTTTTTTTTTGGGGGGTGGGGGGGCATGGTGGGGGTGGGAAGGTTGCGTGGGGGAGGGGGGAGGGGGGGAGGAGGGATGGGTGGAGAGTGGGTGTAAAAGGGGGGATGAATATTGATTGTTTTAGTGTTTGTTTTTCCCTGCTTATTCTCTTTCTTCGTCGTCTTTTTTCGTTTTATTGTTGTTATTATTGTTTATTATTGTTATTATTATTGCTTATTAGTATCATTATTATTATTACTCTCTCTCTTCTTCTTCATTTTCTTCTTCTCCGTCTTCTCCCTCTCTCGCTCTCTCCCTCTCCCTCTTCCTTACCATTTCCCTTTCTCTCACTCGCTCGTATCTTCCTATCTATATATCTATCTCTTTATCTACCTGTCCCTATCTATCTATCTACCTGCCTGCCTCACCTGATGGGGCAAGAACTGACTTTTAAGGAAGAGTGTAAAACATTCTCCGGAAGTAAAACTGTGAAAGGTGACATTTATTTTCCTTCTGCCTCTTTTTCTCTCTTTTTTCCTTGCTCTTTCTTCGCTTTTTCGTCCTTTCGCGTTCGTCTCCCCCACCACTTTTTTTTCCTTTTTTTTTACGTCTCTTCACTTTCTCTGGCTCTTCTTCCTTCTCTACCTTATTCTTTCTCCTCCTCCTTCCTACTCCTTCTCTAAAATCATCTTCATCTCTCCTCCTCCTTCCCCTCTCCTTCCCCTCCTCCCTCCTCCTCCACCCATCTCCCCCCCTCCTCCCCCTCTCCCCCCTCCTCCACCTCTCCCCCATCCTCCCTCCTCCCTCCACCTCTCACCCCCTCATCCTCCTCCCCTTCCCCATCCTCCTCCTTCTCCCCTTTCCCCCATCCTCCCCTCCTCCTCCTCCCCCCCCCCATCCTCGTGCCGTACTCAAGCTTAGAACAACTTAATCTTTCCATACTATCGCCCCGACGTCACACCGCTCGGGAGATGATGGATGTTACTCGCAGGTCCGAGAAGTGAGAAGTGGAGCTGAGGGCTGGGTCGGGTCGTCGGGCTGGGGTCGGGGTTTGGGGCTGAGTCGGGTGGTAGGGTTCGGTCGGGGGCTTGGGGCTGAGTCGGGTGGTAGGGTTTCGGTCGGGGGCTTGGGGCTGAGTCGGGTGGTAGGGTTCGGTCGGGGCTTGGGGCTTGGGCTGAGTCGGGTGTCGGAGGTGTCGGGCTGGGTCGGGGCTTGGGGCTGAGTCGGGTGGTAGGGTTAGGTGGGGCTTGGGGCTAAGTCGGTTGGTAGGGTGGGTCGGGCTTGGGCTGAGTCGGGTGGTAGGGTTGGTCGGGCTTGGGGCCGTCGGGTAATGAAGGTTGGGGCTAGGGTTAGGTCGGGGCTGGGGCTGGGACGGGGGGGGTCGGGGTTAGGGGCTGAGTTGGTGGGGGGGTCGGGCTTTGGGGCTGGTCGTTAGGTCGGGGCTTTGGGCTGAGTCGGGTGTGGCTGGTCGGGGCTTTGAGTCGGGGTAGGCGGCTTGGGTGAGTCGGGTGGTAGGTTAGGTCGGGGCTTGGGCTGAGTCGGGTCGTAGGGGGTCGGGGCTTGGGGCTGAGTCGGGTCGTTAGGTCGGGGCTTGGGGCGCTAGGTCGGGGCTGGGGGCTGAGTCTAGGGTCGGGGCTTGGGGCTGGGTCGGGTGGTAGGTTAGTCGGGGCTTGGGGCTGAGTCGGGTGGTAGGGTTAGGTCGGGGCGGGCTGAGTCGGGGTGGTAGGGTTGGGTCGGGGTGGGGCTGAGTCGGGTGGGGGTCTGGTTGGGTCGGGGCTTGGGCTGAGTCGGGTGGTAGGGTTAGGTTGGGGCTTGGGGCTGAGTCGGGTCGCTAGGTCGGGCTTGGGGCTGAGTCGGGTGTAGGGTTAAGGTTCGGGGCTTGGGGCTGAGTCGGGTGGTAGGCTTAGGTCGGGGCTTGGGGGCTGAGTCGGGTGGTAGGGGTCGGGGCTTGGGGCTGAGTCGGGTGGGTAGGGACTAGGTCGGGGCTTGGGGTGAGTCGGGTGGTAGGTAGGTCGGGGCTTGGGGCTGAGTCGGGTCGTAGGCTAGGTCGGGGCTTGGGGCTGAGTCGGGTGGTGGTTAGGTCGGGCTTGGGGCTGAGTCGGGTGGTAGGAGGTCGGGGCTTGGGGCTGAGTCGGGTCGTAGGACTAGGTCGGGGCTTGGGGCTGAGTCGGGTGGTAGGGGTCGGGCTTGGGGCTGAGTCGGGTCGTAGGACTAGGTCGGGGCTTGGGGCTGAGTCGGGTCGTCGGGCTTGGTGCTTAGCTGGGCCGGAATATAGGGGTCTTTTGGGGGTCGGTTGAAGACTGGAAATAAGTCGTTTTTGAGGGGGACTTGACGTTGGAA